CAAATTAGAACACCTTCCCTTTCTTCGCTCGGCCGACCTCCGGCGATGGTATTCCATGACGGGTTTCTCCTCCAAGACGGCGAAGGAGACGGAGGAAAGAGATTTCAGGACTAGGCGTGCGGGACGAGGGGACCGAGGCAGGACGAGAACGTACAAAGACCGCGCCCGCCTCGGTCCCGAGAACTTCGCGAAATGTAAAAGCCCGAGATTCTCGAATTTCCGGCGATCCAATATTCGGCGGGATTCGAATTGCAAAATTTTTAATTCGGCGAAATTTAAATGCCGGAAACTGCTGGCAGTTCAGTTCGGCGAGGACGCGCGGGGTAGACGAGGAAGAGGAGGGCGCGGAAACTCGCAGGGAACTTTGCCGATGTCAGATCTCGAGGATTAAGTCGACAGGGGGAGGGGATTTTTTTGGAAAAATTCTCCCGCAACTCCTGGAGACGGGGAATTCTTCGACAACTTCCTGCAGAGATATTACGTTTCGAGCCAGAGCGCTCTTCCCAATATTTTATTCGTGTCCGACATCATTTCGAGTACATGTATTCTCTGTCGTCACTACATTTATATGTCGAGAAAGAAAATATCCGAAAAATAAAGAATGTTTATTCGACGGATGCTAATGACATATTCACTTAGATGTAAATTCTTTCGTTCAAATAGAATAAATCATTACTTTCGAGAAAAGCAACGGTGCCCTAGAAAAATACTTATTATTCCATTTGGAAGAAATTGTTTCCTCGATGTAAAAATATGTATATTAGTACAGACAAATATTAGTTTCCTCGATGTAAAAATATATATATTAGTACAGACAAATATTGGCATTAGCGCCCATCGTGAATATTACTTTTTAAATGTTTTCTTTCTCCTCAGTGCAGTGCAGTTTTGATATTATTTATTTAATATTAGAGATTCGCGCGCTGTGTTTTCCACCAGTTCCACCAGATCTCTACGAGGACAAAACTCCTAGATATAATGACGGATCACGCGCCACACTGGTTAATAAACATGATGCTCGTAATTAATTAACGAAAGCATACGCGCGTACCATACATCTGGTTATTAAGGATAATCTCATTCGGTTCTGCGCATTTACTCGGAACAGCAGAGAGTTCCGAGCGCGAAATCCGTGCTGCGAATCACTACACCGGCGAGTCAATTACTAAATTGACTCGCAAAAAATTCGCGAATGCAGATATGATACCTCGGCAAGTTCTCCGCGCGTGTCATTAAAATCCGCACTAATTGCTGCCCAAACGCGGCGTTCTCCACAAATTTCCGATTCCACGAGCCCCTCGTAGTCGGAAACGGGACACGATAATAACGCGACACGACATCGCGGTGTGTTAAGGAGGTTCAAGGGAGCTTCTGTGTTTCGCCGATCGCACTCTCGCTTTTCCTTGGGAACAACAAAGGAAGAAAAGCGCGAGCGTCGTAATAACGGGATTTTCCGCGAGGCGAACGTGATGACTGTCAGCAATTTTCCAGCCACCGGCCGTATGTTTTCCCTTCGTTTTTTCCCCCTTTTTCCCAAGCGAGACTGCTTGCCCGACAGCGGAAACGGCGAAAATTTGGCCATCAGCGGGACAAAACTGTTTCATCGGAGAAACCGACAAAGCGACGCGTTGTTGTAATGAATAGCGACGAACAATAAAGAGGAAGCGAACGGACTGGGAGAGCAGAACGGGAGGGACACGATGGAAAGGAGAGAAAAAGAAACTTGTGAGAGAGAGTGAAATAAATGAAAATAAAAGTTTAAACACACTACGGTTCACACTTGAGATAAAGAGAGAGGCAACAGTTTTCCTACAAAATTATATCGTCGATTATTTTCGCATTGCTTAAGATTTCTCCAATTTTTTGGGTCCTGCCAGATTTCCGATTTCAATATAATTATGAATTCTGGTTGGAAGAGTGTGAGAGTTCCTAATCTTTTTTCTAGTTATTATTTATTTTACTGTAGGCGACTTGTCTACTTCATCAGAAGAAATACTGACGTTTTTTATAATTTTTTTATAATTTAAGGACAAGATAGATCTTCTCATATATAAATATCTTTATTATCACAATGAGTCTTTCTTCAAACTCTACGAACATTTGACTGACCGTGGTCTTGACACCAATGTGAACTTGGTGCCCAAGATAAAAAAAAAAATAAAAAAATGTTTATACTATAGGTTTGTACCTCGTTCGTACCCGTTTGTACCACATTTTGTTTCGTTTGTACATAAAGAGTTAAAAAGTTACGGAGGTGCAAAAAAATCGCCAGCGCCCAACATTAAAATATTTAAAACGGCCAACGTATTCAAAAAAGCATCGTTTGTACCCGTTTGTACCTCCTTTCAAATCGTTTGCACCTCAAAGGAACCGGAAATACAGAATTGTTTACTTGTGTGAACTTAGCACACTATATTTAAAAATGTGACATTTTTTTTAAAGTTCTGATACTCTCTTAAAAAGTTCTAGAGCTCTATGCAACAATTTTAAAAAGTTCCGGTCATTAAATACAAAAAAATAGACTTAAAAAAAGGTGCGCTACGTTCTCGCAGCGCACCTAATCAAAAAAACT